TAAAATGGTATCTTATTGTGATTTTGATTTGCCTTTCTCTGAGGACTAATGATATCAAACATCTTCTCGTGTTCTCATTGGCCATTTTTATGTCTTTGGATAAATATCTATTCAAATTCTTTGCCTATTTTCTAATTAGGTTACTTGCCTTTTTATTTTGTTGTAAGCAAATTATATACTATTAGGTATATAATTTACAAATATTTCCTCTTCTGTTCTATAGGTTGTTTTCAACTTTTTTTTTTCCTTAGTAATACAAACTTTGAACTTTTGATAAAGTACAATTTCTCTTTTTTCCTGTTGTTGTTTGAACTTTTGGTGTCATATCTAAAATATCATTGCCAAACTTCAGGTCATAAAGATTCATATCCACCTTTTCTGATAAGAGTATAAAATCTTATATTTGATCTCCTCTATGTTACTGTTGTTATATGGCACCACACCAGGACTCCTTAAATCATAATAGTACCCTAATTAACACCTTTTAGTGGTTTCTCATTGGAGTCCTGGTGTGGCACAATATGATAAGCTCTGGACTGCTAACCACAAGGTAAGTGGTTTAAACCTACCAGTTGCTCCTTAGAAATCATATACAGGGTCACTATGAGTCAGAACCTACTTGATTACACTTAACAACAACAGCAGAGGCTTCTAGTTGTCATTCAGATAAAGTCTAAACTTGTTAATACTGCCTATGAGGTCCTTCAAGATTTGACTTTGTTCCCTTAAAATATCAACTATATGAGAGCATACAGTAACATTTACCCAAAAGAAACATGAGAAGATCAGGAGGGGAAGGGAAGCTAAAGCCAGGAAAAACAACAAACAGGATGGAAATAATGAGAATGCTGACACATTGTGGAAATTGTAGCCAATGTCATGGAATAATTTGTATAAAAATTGTTAAATGGGAACGTACTTTGCTATGCCGAGAAATGTGGAAGATGGCTGCCTAGACATCTGATTGTAAGAGATCCACATTTGTGCCCGTTTCAAACAGCGGTGATGCAACAGAATGCGGAAATCATCAGACAGTATCATTAGTATCATATGCAAGTAGAATTTTGCTAAGATAATTTAAAAATTGCAACATTTAGAGAGAACAGCCAGAGATTCAAGCCAGATTCAGATGAGGATGGGGCAAGAGGGATATCATTGCTGATGTCAGATGGATGTTGTCAGAAAGTGAGTATAACAGAAAGATGTTTACCTGTGCTTTATTGACTATGCAAAGGCTTTTGACTGTGGATCATGACAAGCTATGGACAACATTGTGGAAAATGAGTATTCTGCAACACTTAATCGTGATCATGAGGAATCTGTACTTAGACCAAGAGGCAGTCATTTGAAGAGAACAAGGGGCCACTGAATGGTTTAAAATCGTAAAAGTGTTGTATTCTTTTTCCATACTCAATCATTGTGTGTGCTGAGCAACCACCACTCATCTGTCAGTTTGTTGTACTGTGGTGGCTTTTGAGTTGCTGTGATTCTGAAAGCTATGCCACCAGTATTTTAAATATCAGCAGGGTCACCCTTGGTGGACAGGTTTCAGATGAGCTTTCAGACAAAGACAGACTAGGAAGAAAGAGTGACAAACTACTTCCGAATATTTAGTCACTGAAAACCTTATGAATAGCAGAGAAACACTGTTAGATATGTTGTTGTTGTTGTTGTTAGGTGCCATCGAGTTGGTACCGACCCATAGCGATCTTATGCACAGCAGAAGGAAACACTGCTTGATCCTGGACCAACCTCACTGTTGTTGCCATGCTATAGTCCATCGATGCTGCCACTTGGCTAATCCATCTTGTTGGGGGTCTTCCTCTTTTTCTTTGACCCTACACCTTACCAAACATGATATCCTTCTCCAGTGACTGGTCCCTCCTGACAATATATCCAAAGTATGAGAAACGAAGGTGGGCCATCTTGGCTTCTAAGGAGCGCTCTGGCTGCACTTCTTCCCAAACAGATCTATTGGTTCTTTTGGCAGCGCATGGCACTTTCAATATTCTTCTCCAACACCATAACTCAAAGGCATCAATTCTTCTATACTCTTCCTTATTCACTGTCAAGCTTTCAAATGCATATGAGGTTATTGAAAACACCATGGCTTGGTTCAAGCGCACCTTAGCCCTCAAGCTGACATCTCTGCTCTTCAACACTTTAAAAAGGTCTTGTGCAGCAGATTTGCTTAATGCAGTACGTTGTTTGATCTCTTGACTGCTGCTTCCATTAGTGTTGATAATTGATCCAAGAGGAATGAAGTCCTTGACAACTTCAATCTTTTCTCCATTGATAAAAATGTTGTTTATTGGTCCAGTGGTGAGGATTTTTGTTTTCTTTACATTGAAATGTAATCCATACTGAAGGCTGTGCCCTTTGATCTTCATCAGTAAATGTTTAAGTGCCTTAGGTTGGAAAGCACTCAAAATGCGACTGGGGAAGAGCTGCCTCCTCAAAGTAGAGTTCACCGTGATAACGTGAATGGAGTAAAGCTCGTGGAAGAAAAGCCTGTAGTACCTTCATTTGCTGATGGGGCACAGCTCAAAATGAAGAGAAACAGCTGTAAACATCCATTGAAAATTGGAACATGGAATGTACAAAGTATAAATCTTGGAAAATTGGAAGTTGTCAAAAATGAAATGAAAGGCATAAATATCAATATCTTAGGCATTAGTGAGCTGAAATGGGCTGGTGTTGGCCATTTTGAATATGACAACCACATGGTCTACTATGCCGGGAATGATAGATTAAAGAGGAATGGTATTGCATTCATCGTAAAAAACATATCCAGATCAGTCATGAGGTACAATGCTGTCTGTGGTAGCATAATATCCATGCGCATAAAGGGAAGCCCAATTAATACCACTATAATTCAAATTTACACACCAACCACTAAAGCAAGTAAGGATGAAATAGAAGAATTCTACCAACTTCTTCAATCTTATATTGATCAAACATGCAATAAAGAAATATTGATCATTACTGGTGATTGGAATACAAAGGTTGGGAGCAAAGAGGAAGGATCAGCAGTTGGAAAATCTGGCCTTGGTGATAGAAATGATGCTGAAGAACACATGATAGAATTCTGCAAAACCAACGATTTGTTCATTCCAAATACCTTCTTTAGGCAGCATAAGAGATAAATATGCACATGGACCTCACCAGATGGGATACATAGAAATCAAATTGACTACATCTGTGGAAAGAGACAATAGAAAAGCTCCATATCATCAGTGAAAACAATGCCAGGGGCAGACTTTGGAAGAGATCATCAATTACTCATATGCAAATTCAAACTGAAGCTGAAGAAAATGAAAACAAGTCCACGAGAGCCAAAATATGACCTTGACTATATCCCATGTGAATTTACAGATCATTTGAAGAAGAGATTTGATACATTAAGCACTAAAGACTGAAGACCAGAAGAGCTGTAGGATGACATCAAGAACATCATACATGAAGAAAGCAAAAAAGTCATTGAAACGACAGGAAAGAAAGAAAAGGTCAAAATGGATGTCAGAGAGACACTGAAACTTGCTATGCAGTTTAGAGATGCTAAATAAATGGAAGAAATGAGGAGGTCCAAGAACTGAACAGAAAATTTCAAAGATCAGCTCAAAAAGATGAAGCCAAATATTAACAACAACATGTGCAAAGATCTGGAATCAGAAAACCAAAAATGAAGAACATGCTCTGCATTTCTCAAACTGGGAAACTGAAGAAAAAGTTCAAGCCTCAACTTTCGTTTTTGAAGGATTCTCTGGGCAAATTTTTGAATGATGCAGAAAGCATCAAGCGAAGTTGGAAGGAATACAAAGAGTCACTATACCAACAGGAAATGGTTACTGTTCAGCGGTTTCAAGAGGTAGCATATGATCAAGATCCAATGATACTGAAGGAAGAAGTCCAAGGAACGTTGAAGGAATTGGCAAAGAACAGAAATTGATGGAACCAAAATTGAAATCTTTCAAGAAAGTGAGGCGGCACAGGAGGCACTCACTCATCTCTGCCAAGAAATTTGGAAGACAACTATCTGGCCAGCAGATTGGAAGAAATCCATATTTTTGCCCATTCCAAAGAGAGGTGGCCCAGTGAAATGCGGAAATCATTGGACAATCTCTTTGATATCCCATGAGAGTAATGTTTTGCTGAAGATAATACAGAAATGACTGCAATCATACATTGACAGAACTTCCAGAGGTTCAAGCCGGATTTAGAAGAGGCCGTGGAACAAGGGATATCATTGCTGATGTCTGATGGATCTTGGCTGAAAGCAGAGAATATCAGAAAGATGTTTACCTGTGCTTTATTGACTATGCAAAGGCTTTCGATTGTGTGGATCATGACAAGCTATGGACAATAGTGCAAAGTACGAGTATTCCAGAACACTTAATTGTTAGGATGCTGTTGCAAGAAACCTAGGAAGTTATGTGATAATGGAAAGAAGTAGATAAACTTAAGATGTATTTTAGAACTAAATGATAGGACTTATTATTGATAGTGGAGCTCTGATGTGGCGCTGCAGGATAAACCCTGAACTGCTAATCACAAGGTTGGAAGTTCAAATCCACCAACTGCTCCTTGGAAATCCATACAAGGTCACTGTGAGAACTGACTTGATGGCACTTAACAACAACATTGTTGATAGTATGTAGGGACAGGGAGAAGCCAACAGAGACACTTAGTGTTTTGACTTAAACAATGGGTTTATGATTGGTAATTCCATTTAATGAGTTGAGGAACAAGGACAAAGAATTTATTTAAAACTGGAGAATGAAGCAAGAGGAGAAAATTTCTAATTGATCATTCTCAGATTTCAGATAGCAAAGGTACGAAAATTGAAATGTATATGTTAATTTATAAGATTGGTAGAGGAAAGTGTGAGAAGAAATAGATGCCCCTCATCCCTCCTCTTTTTTTGTTCAAGTCTGGATATCACCTTTGTGGATTTATTGTTGATTAATGTAAAGTCTTATTTCTTTTTTTCTCCTTTTTAGGTAACCCAAGTTTTGTTAACTTTTATTTGCCATTTGCAAAGACTTTGTACTCTTTGGTAAACAGACGTTTTCCAGTGTGGATTATCAGTCATGCTGGGCATTCCTTCATCCCCAAAGACAAAAAGATTCCTCCAGCCTCAGATGGTATGTTCTTTCTAACATCTGCTTTCCTTTGCAGTGAGTAGGTATTCATGTCTCTACAATTCTTCTCAGATAAAAAGTTACACCGATAGAAACCTCTGTTTGTCATTAAGCCCCTTACTCTGCCATGCTTGGTAGTATATGAATGTTTTAAAGCATTTGAATTTTTGAAGTAATTTTTCATAAAAATTTGGGTAAAGCAGCCATCTCTGTCTATGACTTGCCTTTTCTGTTTGCCATTGTAATGAACTAGGTATTTTCAGAGTTGTACTAGGAGGAATGAGAATGAAAAAGTTGTATGTCATAGTTGTTACTCTAAAGAAGTTTGAAATCTCAACAGAGAATTATTAAGTGACAGACTAGACTGCTGAGCTTGTGGCCTCTTGCAGAGTGAACACAGGAAAGAACTCAGTCTGGGTTAAAAAAGACTGTGGAGCAGGTGGGTTTTGACAATTGAATAGTATTTTGACTTGAGAGTGAAGGGAAGGTATACCAGGTAGAAGTAGCAGAGCAGAAAGAGAGATTCGGTAAATGTGATGGTAAGTGTTGTACTGGAGACCAGACTGACAGGAAAGGATCTTGAAAGCTGGCAGAGAGCTAGCACTCTTCGGTAAATAACTGAGAACCTTTAATAAGAGAAAATGGGTACAGAGTTACATATTACTTGCACTTAATTTACGAGATTTGTACCATGTTTGTGCCTCTTTTTTTTTTTTTTTTTTAATGAGAGAAAAGAGAAAGGTAATATAAGTTTTATAGGCATTCTATTCCAGGTTCTATTCCAGGGCCTGTTGTTTTAAATGGCGCCCTGCAGTGGATGTGAGGTGAGAAGAGATGACTTCACTGTAGTTTCCTTGCCTGGTTTGCCTAAAAGCTTCTGGTATACCTCTGCTGTGGTATATCATAGACTTTACTGAGTTTCTAAGTTTTACAGACATGACACACTACTTTAAGTTTCTGTTTTGCTTATGTACTCTTTGTTACTATGTATGCCTTCTGGTACGCGTGGATCTAGAAGTTCAAATACTCAAAACAGGACTGCTTTGTGTATGAGTTAAGTGATATTAAGGCTAGTTTTGATTATATTTAATTTTTCTAAACTTTTTATTATGAATTGAGTGAAGGTTTACTGTGAAGATCATCAGTTTTACATTCAACAAATCATACAGTTTGTTTCATCTCAATGATTGCAGTCCCCTCTGTGTTAAAACAATTATCACACTTTCTCCTTGTTCTTATTTTCAGTCCACTCTCCTTTTCATCCCTTCTTTAAGTAAATCCCTTTGTCTTTAAGTAAATATTGCCCTTTTGATCTTGAATGATTGAGCATACCTTACTAGTATTTTTGTCCCCCCATACCTATCTACTGCTTGGCTGAAAATCGGGCCACAAGTGTGAATTTAATTCTAGATTCTGGTCAAAGGCCATAGTCTCGGGTTCTTCCCGTCTCTTTCTGACCAGTAAATCTGGTCCTTTTTTTTTTTAATATTATTTTGAGTTTTGTTCCACATTTTCTCCCACTCTACCCGGGACCTTCGAATGCTATACCATGGTCCATTGGACTAATTGATTCCAAGCATCTTCAAATTTTCATCATTGTGTTTTTCTGCACTTGGAGAGACCAATTGTCGTACCTTAATGGTCGCTTATGACCGTCTAAGATTCCAGTTGCTATGCATCAGAAATAGGATGTAGAACATTGTCTTTGTGGACTACACAATGCTAGTTAACCATGATGTCCTGACCTTCAAGTCCATCAACTCATTGCTTTGTGATGTTTAATAATATTTAAGAAGTTTTCATCATTTTGCCCCTTGAAACCCTGTGAAGGGTCACTATGAGTCAGAACTGACTCCACGGTACTTAACAACAACAATATGCACCACCACAGGACTTCTGGTGTGGTGCCATAGGATAAGCAATGGACTGCAAACCACAGTGTGGACAGTTCAAACCACCAACCGTTTCTTGGAAACCCTGTACAGGGTTGATATGAGTCTAATCAATTCAATGGCACTTAACCACATTCATAGGTGTGTTCATAGCAAAAGTAAATACCATTTACAAATATCCTTTCTCAAACCCTGATATATTTGTGTGTTTACACCTGAAGTCCTGGTGTGATGCTGTAGTATAATCACTGGACTGCTAACCGCAAAGTCAGCGGTTCAAATCTACCGGATGCTGTTGGAAACCTATGTGTTGGAACCGACTTGAAGGTATATTAACAATAACAATTATCAATGTTGGAGTGAGATGATACCTCATTGTTGTTTTGGTTTGCATCTCTCTAAAATAGATTTGTACCATGTTTGTGCATTCTTTTTTTTTTTAATAAGAGAAAAAAAAGAGAGAGAGAGAGAAACAGACGAGTGGTGGCTTCGTCCCTCATACTTTGGACATATTGTCAGGAGGAAATAGTCACTGGAGAGTCATGCTGGGTAAGATGGAAGGTCAGAGAAAAAGAGGAAGATCCCCAACGAGATGGATCAGCCAGGTGGCATCATTGATGGCGTCAGGTGTGGCAGTAGAAATGAGGTTGGCCCAGGATCAGACATTGTTTCGTTCTGCTGTGCATGGAGTCGCTATGAGTCGGTTCCGACTTGATGGCACCTGACAACAACAACAAAATAGATTTGCATTTCTTCATATGTTTGTTGGTCACCTGAATGTTTTATTTGGTGAAGTGTCTGTTCATGTCCTCTGCCCATTTTTTAATTTGGGTTGTTTGTCTTTTACTTATAGAGGTGTTGTAGTTTCTTATACATTTTAGAGGTTAGTCCCTTGTCTGATGTGTCATTCAAAAACATTTTTTCCCTGTCTGTGGACTTGTTTTTACTTGTCTGGCAATCTTTTGATGTATATTAATTGTCTACTTTTTAGGAGGTGCCAGTCATCTATGTTGTTTTCTATTGTTTGTGTATTTTTAGTTTTGTTTGACAGTGTATTTATGTAATGTAGCAGAGTCCCTATGTTTGCCCCTGTTTTTACATTGATGATCTATATGCAAGGGTGAGTCAAAAATTATCTGCACTCTGGCTGTAGAATTTATTTTAGTCAACTTTTAGAAAAGACAGATATATCATTTTCAACATAGTCTCCTTACTTTTCAATACACTTTGTCTATCTATCAGCAAGCATTTGTATTCCCTTATTAAAAAAATATTTTAGGCTGAGCTGTGAGCCATGAATGACTTGGTCTTTCCTTCTTTATCAGAGGTGAATCTTCATCCTGGAAGGGCTGCTTTCAGAGACCCAAACAGGTGAAAGTCCGATGGAGCAAGATCAGAACTATAGGGAAGATGCTTTAATAATTCAAAATGAAAGTTTTGCATAGTGTTAACAGTGTGGACAGGGGTGTCCTGACATTCAGTGTCATGCAAGATCAAAAAGCTCTTGGATAGCAGTCCTCTGCATTTAATCTGAAATTTAGACTTCAGCTCTTCAGGGAACATCTCACTGTAATGAGCACTGTTGATTGTTGAACATTTTTCCTGATAGTGTTCCAGTACTGATCCTTAAGAATTCCAGAAAACTGTAAGCATGAATTTTCCAGCTGCTGGTTGAACTTTTGAACTCTTTCTTGGTCAGCGATTGAGGATGTTTCCATTCCATACTCTGCCGTTTACTCTCAGGAAACCAAGGTAGATCTATAACCCACCTTGAGTTTATTTCTGGATCTGATGTGAGATATGCGTCTTGGAACTACAAATGAAATTCCGGTCTTGCCTGTACCGTTTGTTAAAGAGACTCACTTCCCGTTTAATGTGTTTGGCCCTTTGTCAAAGATAATGACTGTATGTGGATGGATTTTCTTCTGGGTTCTCAATTATGACCACTGTCTATGTGTCTGTTGTTGTACCAGAACCAGGCTGTTTTGACCACTGTAGATTTTGAAATTAGGAAGTGAGAGGTCTCCAACTTTGTTGTTCTTTTACATTATGCTTTGTGTACCTGAGGTTTCTTTCCTATCCATATAAAGTTAGTAATCAATTTTCTTTAAAGAATGACATTGAAATCTGGATTGCAATTGTTTTGAGCATTACTGACATTTTCACAATGTTACTCTTCCTATCCATGAGCATGGTATTTTATTCCATTTTTATAAGTCTCTTTTTGTTTCTTGTAGTAGTATTTGTTTTGTAGTTTTCTTTGTACAGATCTGTTTCTCTGGTTAGACTTATTCCTAAGTACTTCAACTTTTGGGTAGCAATTGTAAATGGTATTATTTTTCTGATTTCCTTTTCAGAACTCTCTTTATTAGTGAAAGGAATCCAACTGACTTTTGTATGTTGATTGTGTACGTACCACTTTACTGAATCTTTCAATAAGTTCCAATAATTTTCTTGCTGAGTTTTTGGTATTTTCCATGCATAAAATCAAATCATCTGCAAACAGAGAGTTTTACTTCTTTGCCAATATGTTGTTGTTGTTGTTAAGTGCCATCGAGTCGGTTCCGACCCATAGCGACCCTGTACAGGGTTTCCTGAGGGTGTAAATCTTTACGGGAGTAGAAAGCCTCATCTTTCTCCCGCGGAGCAGCTGGTAATTTTGAACCACTGACCTTAAGGTTCGCAGCCCGATTTGTAACCACTATGCTACCAGAGCTCCTTGCCAATATGGATGCCTTTAATTTCCCTTTCTTGCTGTATAGCTCTGACTAAGACTTCAAGCACAGTATTGAATAGGAGTAGTGATAAAGGGCATCCTTGTCTGGTTCCTGTTTGCAAGAAGAATGCTTTCAGTTTCTCTCTTTTGAGAGTGATGGTGACTGTTGGTTTTGCCCTTAATTCTGTTGAGGAATTTCCCTTCTATTCCTTTTTTTTTTTTTTTTGAGTGTTTTTATCAGGAACGGGTGTTTGATTATTGTATGTTTTTCCTTTTGTTTTATTTATGTGGTGGATTACATTGATTTTTTTTTTCTAATATTGTTGCCTGATGTGAATTCAGTTCAGCCATGATGTATTAAATTTTTGATATGTTGGTGGATTCTATTGACAAGG